TTATTTTAAAAATTATCATAATAATTAGAAAAAAGGCGTGATTGCGCATTTTAATTTTCAAACCTACTAATTAATTATTTGACACAGAACATAGTACCTTTGTGTAATACCGACATTTTTAACTTTATTATTTTCAGAAAGAACTGCCAAAGCTCTTACCGTAGGCTCCAGTGACTTACCGGCACCATCAGCTAGGTCAAAAAAGATAGCCGAGTTGAAAAGCATGGCGGATGTTAAAACTGCACTGGGTAAGGACGCTACAAGTACTTCAAAAGCCTCGACATCAGCGAGCAGGAAGAGGAAACTCAGTACCATTAGATCGCCATCACCCGCCAAGAAAGTAGCACGCACCATTGCCACTGCAAAGAGAAGAGTCATTTCCATCGACAAAGATTGGTAAGTATGCATCTAAACTTCAAAAAGTCGATAAAAAAAACAATCAAAAAAAAAACAAAACGAGACAAATTAAGACATGAACTGGAGAACACTTGCTATATTGTCTACATCATTGTTATTTAAACCCCTTCTGTGAGTCACATGTTGTGTTTTGTGCAATCGTCACTTTACGTGTTTTCTAAATCTGCTATCATATTCACTTTCAGTACTCAGACCAGATCCAGATCTGTATGTCCACGAACAGGCATCTGTACAGTTTGTCACCCTACGTCAACATCATTATCATCGGGACGTGGAAAGAAACGTACGTCACTTCCTGTCACCATTCCCACACCAACTACTGCCAGAGGTAAAAGAATGACGACGGAAAAGAAAATTCCGGTCAAAACTCCCAGTGTACGTGTTTCTGCGTCTACTTCAGCTACGCCGAGTGGGGACGTAGATTTGGCTATCGGAAAAGCAGTGTCTAGAAAACAAGTTAGACGTTTAGTTAAGAAATCCATCGCCGTGAATAAATTAAGAAAGATGTAAATAAAATATATATATATAGCGCAATTCAGAACACTTGATGTCATATAAAGTAAATGTTGCTTGGTATGAAAGTACAGAATTGGCGTCCTTGAGACGAGGCTTGATCGATTCGCTGTCAGATTACATCATATTTGTTTTAAAATATATGTTGAATTATATAGTTACCTATAGTTATATAGTATGTATACAATATTATAATTTTCGATATAATAATGTACATATTTTTGTATTTTACTATTAAATATCTTTTTTGCTTTAATACATATTTTGACTGTTTTTGTTAATTATTGGAAATAATTGTAGCTTTTATAATCCTGGAATTTTTGCTTGATGGAAAGTTGGAACTGATCAAAGCTATATTTAAAATTAGACCTTAAATATAATTTTTGGAATAAGCATGGTCAATACGTTCGTGCTTTTTTCTGTGTTGAAAGGTGATAACGAAACTGTTCTTTAAATAACTGGATTAACTTTGCCTTGCGGTGTTTGTTATTGTCGACACTTTTCTTGGAAATGCCATTATTACGAAAGGGTTCCTAGAAAAATGTGATTTATTTCATGTACAAGAAAATAATATCCACCGGACAGTCAGTGTTGCCTTATTCAATAACAATCAAGTCGTAAAATGTTGTGTTGTGAAGGCAGGTCCAACAATTGTCGTATATTTACAACATCATGAAACGTGGTTTCACCCGTTGTATGAATGGTCTATTCCATAATCGAATTGACGTTGTGGTTTTCCGACTATTCAAGTTGCTAGCGACGTAGTTACTGAATTCGCCGGCGATGTTTCTATTAATGTTGCAATACAGCAAGTAAATCCGATTTGGAGACAGCGGTTTTCCATTTTCACATTTTCTCGACAAAATAAAATCAACAGAGCAATGTATTTTAATAAATAATTTTATCATATATGATAAGTTGCGATGTAATGTAATGTAATGTTTTGAGTAATTTTAAACAATCTTTGATGTGTTTCCGAACATTTTTATATTACCGTATCATCATAATGCAGCTGTCTGTCATTAGCTTTTCCGTCGCGGATGTTGTGACGTGTTTTTGTTGATAGTGGTTGTCACGTGGAAGTAATAGTACTAGTACTTTGTATGCATAAATAACCGAGTTTGTTTACATTCAGATTGGTCAGACATCAAAGTTCCAAATTAGACCAGAAAATACAGAGGTCGCCTGTCTACAACGCTAACATGCTTTGTCATGTATTGCACATTAGTCGTCATATGCACAATGATGATGTCACGTGTTTGAAGAAACTTTCCACGCCGCTTGAATAATGAATGGGTTTAGCTGAGTTACCTCAAATGCTCTGCTCGCCTTCCCTCTGTAGCAACACCACGCACTGACCACATCCCACTGAGTAGCCACCACTCTCTTAGAAAGTAGCACGTAAAGTTGCCACTGCAAGCCTGAAGTGTCACACATAAAATGAATTGACTATGTTCGCTCATACATGGATAGACTTTTACTTCGTATTAAAAGCGAGGTATAACAATTTCAAACTAATTAGTATTTGCATGTATCACAACATCATATATAATATCAACATTTATCTTTCACTGTAACATTCGACAATAAATTATTCTAGACCCTCTCCAGTGGCGGATCTAGGGGGTGGGTTCTTGGGGTCCGAACCCCCCGTTGAAAAATGTATTCAATTTGTTTTTGTATAATATAAAAAAATCATTAACTTAGTCTGCGATTTTAAAATTTGCCCCCCCCCCTATAAGGGGGTGCTCTCCATTTTCATTTGTAAAACGGGTTTGAATAAACCTGCGTCAGACCAGATGTTTGTTTTGTACAATGCTGTAATGTTATTGACCTACTTCCCATTCATTTTCAGTACTCAGAGCAGAACTGTACGATGTCTACGGACAGGTTTGTCACTTTTCGTTACCATAGTTCTATAATGAGAAATAAACAATTTCTGAAAGACAACCAGTATCTAGGAAACGAGAAATATATTTACTATAAACTTATATTATTATATATTATATAAACTTATATAAACTATATTGTATCCACTCGTAATATAAGCGTCCACGTGACCAAAATAAAGTGAATAGTAAATACGTGTAGGCGTGTGGCAGTATTAGTCAACATTGTTATTTTTAAGGTAGCAACAGCAGAAATGAGTTAGAAATTGATCTGTGATTCAGACTTTCTCTAAAAGTAGTTAGCATGCTACTATAACAAACTATACCGGTACATCATCTGAAAGCTTAGATATAACCAAATATGGTAATGTATACAGTACACCAAATTTAAAGTGTGGATGTCGTCACCTGCGCATGTGTCAGATGGCCATAGCGTGTCATTGTTTACAAACAAACGTCTACACATGAGCCTTTGCATTTTTAGCGTGTGTTGTTATCGTCGCTTGGGACTCAATCCCTGCGCGTGCGCAGGCGACGACCCTCCCGCTTTAAAATTTATTATCAAACTGGAAACTCGCTAAAAAAAATTTGTTTGTGATGTTTCAACATCATTACGGTTCGTAACAACAATAATAATATACATGTATACCATCTCATGTCACCGAGCCAAATGTCGAGTTATAAAGAAATAATCGTCATTATAGAAACCAGCGCAATCACATCACATTTTGATTATATAGTTGGCTAATTTTTCTGATGGCATAAAAGTATGAAAAGATGATAGAACATCTTCAATTTGTCTCCAGATGTATTAAAATAAGGAGAGTATAAAAAAAATGTGTTATTGTCACGTGATTGGCGATGTTTTGATGTTCGTTCTTACTTGTTGTCAACAGTATAAACATATGACATCACGGTGCGACGTTTTTATTCGTTAAACTTGTCAGACTCAATTTCATGGATGTGTTCGTGACTTTGTAATAAAAATTCAAAATCGGAGAACATAACATTATCCATGAAATGTCAGATCCGCGGAAATGCATTCAAACTTTTCTTCACATGTGGCCACCGATAAAACATAATTATCAAATGTCCACCGAAGCGATCATATTTTAAAATATACAAGTATCTGAGTCTGTGTCGAATGTTATTCTGTGCAAAAGTGGCAGGCAGTTTTCAAGAAATTGACAAAACTGAATAACTTCATCAAAAGTGAATGCTAAGTTGAATAAGAATCAAGATCCTATGTTACTTGAAATACTTTCATTCAATATGCAAATTTGACCATTATTTTTAGTTCAGTATGATGAATGTTTACTCACAATTGTGTTTTTGCAAATAAACTGAGATTATGCATCAAATACATCGACCCCCTTAAATTCGAACCAATGACAGTTACAGAATGCAACATATTACATAGTGTGAGATTTTTCTGATAAAATGTATTTTTGCTCCATTTCCCAGCTGCCTTAATTGATTTGCATAACAATCTGGGTAATTCGAGACGAAAACATGGCGGAGTATACTAATAAAAAAACACAATGTACATTCAGTCCATTTCTACATTCAACTAGCATTTCAGATGTTTGTGGGGTTAATTAATAGTAATTAATTAGCACAATAATTAACTGAATTGTATACTATAATTTCGGGTTGAAAAACATGCACAGGTGTTAACGCAATACCACTATGCGCTATGATAAATAATATACAATGCGACACAGATGGCCGTACATGAAATATTAAAAGTCTTTATTTTATTTTCATGGTTATTATGCTATTAAACACTGTTCACTAAATAGAATTTATTATTTAGCCACTAAATTAAATGCATTTAATTTCCTGAATAATATTTAAGCATATTTTGGTATTTTTAGGACGTATGGTTCTAACAGAAATTGTTATTGTATTTTTTAGTATTTATATGCTGCGTACCACAATTCCGCCTAATCTATGTTTTGAGGCTTATAAACAACAGGTTGGTACATTCAAGAAGTTAAAATGAAGCTACCTATATTGCTATCATGTGTGTTAGTTATCACTGCTGTCTGCGGATTGAGAAATGAGCATGGCAGAGAAGAGCAACGACCAAATCACTGGAAACAGGCTCGTGGACATCCTGGTCATAATCGCCCAATAGCTGATGGCGGCAAAAAGAATTCTCCGTCTCATGACCGTTTTGGTGTAAGATATAATAACCCGTTCTTGAACAAGGTCGATGACGATATTGACAGGGATGGCAGTAAATTGGAGAAGAAATTTGATGGTCGTTCACCTTTTGGTGCACGGAATGGAAAACCCCGCCAACCCAATCCTTGGAACAGACCATGGATGCCTAGCATAGATAACGTTCAACCAAACGCAAGCCCATACTTGAGGAAAGATGGTGACGAAGAAGTAGGCTATAGTGACAGTAAAAGTAGAGAAATCAAAAATAGTGAAGACTTTAGTGTGAATGACAGATTTAGTTATGAAGATACAGAGAGTTACAGCGTCGAAGATACAGGGAGTTACAGCGTCGAAGATACAGAGAGTTACAGCGTCGAAGATACAGAGAGTTACAGCGTCGAAGATACAGAGAGTTACAGCGTCGAAGATACAGAGAGTTACAGCGTCGAAGATACAGAGAGTTACAGCGTCGAAGATACAGAGAGTTACAGCGTCGAAGATACAGGGAGTTACAACGTTGAAGATACAGAGAGTTACAACGTTGAAGATACAGTTAGCGACAGTGATGAAGATAGTGGAAGCGGTAGTGGTGACGACACAGAGAGCGACAATGGAAGTGGTGGCGCCAATTATATTCCTGGAGACATATTAGATAAATCCCGTCTACCTTACTCTGGTAATTTGCGAAGCAAAAATATGTTCTAAATTGTCTAATCAATGATGTCATGTTTTCCTTGTACATTTTACCATTGGCATAGAAAGTACGAAGCATCATTATATATCGTATTTACATTGTTAATTACTTACTAGAAATCTGTATAATGTATCGTTAGACAGATTTATTAAATCTCTCTGGATATAACCTGAAAATGATTTGATGTATTATTTATGGTGGTATATACAAAGTTTTCCAATAGTCGCTTTTGAAAATAACACAACGCTCAGTCAAATTGATGGATATTTCAGAGCAAAGTAACTAACATAAGCAATACAAAACAACCTTTTAATTTTACACCATTCTTCTTCACTGTAGAACGGTTTGCGTCTGAACATTCTAAAATTCTATTCTAAGAAGCTTATTATGCACCGAGCTTCATCGTCTATTTTATCTTTAAACATGTTGTCTAATTTTATCTTAGCTTGGCGTTCTGTCACTGTACACTTAGAAAAAAATACACCAGTGCAGTCGTTCTTTCATCACCAGTGAATGGAACTTGCTCTATTGCCTGCCCCTCGTGTTACCCTCATAATATAGATAGCACCAAACGCTGACAGAAATTCTAATGTTTCAAAGATCTATATTTCAAAACACTGACACATTGCGGACAGATGTGCTAACAACGGAATCGTTCATTGTTGCCACAGTGATTAGTATTATACACCTAAACTGCATGGGATAAATACATAAATGAACTGTCGATGTTCAATGCTCATACATACTCTACGGCGAGTTGTTTTGTCAAACGTGTAACGACGTCCAAAGGCGAGACATCCATGTTTATATATTGATGATACTTCCAAGAAGTTCTGTATTCGGTGATCAAATTAATTTAAATCTGAAATGTTCGTTCACCTTGTCTGTCGATGCTGGTATTCACAGCAATGTACAGTTACCATTTCTAAATTAAGCGTTTTGATGGCGCCTGCTCATTTTTTAAAGTCCTGGCTTGTATTCTATTCACTGCGTAATTTGACAGTATAGACCAATACGTGTGTCTATGCCAATCTACAAATAATATCAAATCAGAGAATGGTTTGCTTAAACTTTTCGTGTAAGCGTCACTCTCAGTGGCCAGGGATGTGAGGAATTCCAGTGTCAAAGATCTTTATTTTGAAACATGCTTAGATTATAATGATCGACCATTTTTTTTTACAAAGATTTTGATTTCGAAACATGCTTAGATTAAAATAGAAATGCTGCTCTAGCTAGCCCATTTGTTTATAAATTAGACTAAGTGGGTTGTACTACTCTCATTGGGATAGGGATCATTTTGGAGGCTTAGAATTAGAGTTTGGGTTAGCCTCCATTTTCCCATGCTCAGCAGCGATGCCAGGACAGGCGAGTGGATGCTGTTAGTAGTTGGAGTGGCTAGTACACTGTTTTATAGCTAGAGAATTCCTTCACGTTTATGTCGTTACTCCAATTACTACAACTAACTGTTTAAGTTAGATATTTGTCTAAATTACTAGTAGTCTAAATTTAAGAAACAAAGCCACTGGCACCATAGTCGACCATGCAATATCTCAATTAGGACACAGTGTGGATTCAATGCAAATATTTAATACACAATAGTGAAAGAATACGAAACTGGGTAGGAATGAGGTACATTATTTTACAGAAACGCCAACACACTGAGTAAGTGGCCAGATCAACCCCTAATTCCTAACTTCACCACAGAAGGTGCAGCAACAAGCATTACTGTTTGTGTGAGTTCGTCACCCACTGACCTTCAATGACTGGACCCACAGTTTCCGATGCCAGCACATGGTCTAGTAGTAGTGGACCAAAATACTTGGGAGTTGGGTAGAGCTCTCACATCTCTTGTGTAGAGTCATCTCCAGCACTCATCTAGACAGTGAACATGGCAAAACTAGTTGACAATACATGATTTTTCCACCACATGGCAAGTAAACATTTGAAACAGATACCCCTAGATGCCACTGTGGGCTTCCAGTAATAACATAATATGCACACTGGGCATAGGGTCCTCTGTCCTGCACACTTGTTGCAAAGTTGCTGGTTTCAATTGTGGGATGAAAATAGAGGATGTCGGTTTGTCAGGTCGTTGGATCTTGTAAATTGCGCATCTCCCACCTGAAGCCAAGACGACCAGAAATAGTAATTTGGCATCTTTGTCATCCCTTGCATACAAACACCTTACTACACAAAGTACCGAGAAGACCTTCCCATGATATTTCAAACCAAAATTTCTGTTTAACTCTTTAAACAGTGCTATTAGTATCATTTGGGTGTCGTTTGACAGAGATACCTTCCTGGGTGTCGCTAATATCATCAGATACATGGGGAATTCATACATATCAATGTTGTCCCAGCTGATGGACATCATGTCCCAGTGCCAGTGCTGTTTGGCAAGGGGTGCATGTCAGTGATGTGGCAAAGAGATTGATGGGTGGTTTTTGTCAAAGATTGAGTACCATGTAACACAGCAATCTGATGAGAGATCTAGCCATTCTGTGCCAAAAACTTGGTTTGAGTTTGTGATAGTAAGTTAGACATGGTGTTGTGGATCCCCTTGACATGCTTGAGGTAGGCCATTTCGGTGACATTATCAAACACCACTAACAATGATAGTGCAGAAAGTTCAGGGGGGAAACTGAACCAACTCCACCATGCCAACTACCCCAATTTGTTTCCAAAGTGTGGTCATTAGCTGAGATATCATACAGATACGTTTTGGGTGAACTGTAACTGAAACCCCAATGACCCAATGAATGCCTGGGTGTACTAGGTGTGTGTTTAGTGTCTTCCTTGATTGATGAAAAACAAAACCAATCATTTATGTATGGCTATACACATTATCACCACCTTGTGCATTCTCGCGAACACAAGTGGTGCCAAGGAAAGACCATAATGGAAGTACTCAAAATTGGTACAGCATTCCCTCTACTACAAACCTCAACAAAGCTGGACTTGCTGGGTGCATTGGTATGTGAAGATGTGCATCCTTGAGGTCTGTTTTGACGTACTGCCTGCTTGTGCAATAAACATCTTGAATGACTTAAGGTTGACTGAGGCATTCAAGTAGACTTCTAAGACTTGCCTTATCTCCCTTATGATTACGCTTACCTTTACCCTTGGCAATTTGCCTAGGCTGACCCCTTTGCCAGGCTTGGCAATGTGAATCTGCACAGCATATGCATGTTGTCTTAAGTAGTTTTCAATAGAAATGGAAAGTGTCTCTCCAACCTGGGCCATCTCACTATCAAATAAGCCCGTCTTTGATGAGGCCAAGCAAGACACCAGAAAAGTTGTGGCTCTGGCCCACACAGTATCGAGATGCATAAGCAAAGAACAATGAATCATTACTAATGGGTCTCTGACATACAATGGGCAGCAAATATAGCAGACAAATTTTGCAATTTGGAAGACTTGATAATGGCACCTGGCACCTCCATCGTTGTTTGTAAATGTTTTATTAATCCACAGGGAAAGACAGTAGTGCTACTGATGATAACCTCAAAGTAAGTTGAGATGGATGGCATGGATTTCAACAGCAAAATCAATGAAATCCGACATTTCAGGTTCACAATACAGTGCATGATTGTGCAAGACATCAATAGTAAGTCCAGCCTTTTTCTGGCAGGTGAAAAAAAGGAGACATTACGACAAACTGCAGTGACAGAACCAAGCAGCAAGAGATGGACCAGTTATATTGTTGGGGGGTGGTGGTTGTTGTTTACAGAGACATTCTTGCGTCACAGACCAATACTTTTGAAACATGATTATAATAAATGATGGACCAAGGAATAAGGGATGGTCCAATTAGATGGGGGGGGGGGTACATAGGTTTTCTTGTGACAAAGTTAGTAATTTCGAAAAATACTTAAATTAACATGGATACTCTTGTGTGAAATATGTCAAAAGTCTTTATTTCAATATATGCTTAGATTAAAAGGACCAAAAAATGGACCATTTAAAATCATAGTTGTAACAAGCCGTGCATGGAACTGCCCCATTAGTTATCACATTTAAGATATATAGCCTTGTTTATAGTAATATAGTTAAAACATGTCAGAAATATGGATCCAGAAGCTGATGCTTGATTATGGTGATTTTTTACATTAAAATGATAGACATTTAGTCATCTCTTATCTGATCGACCAAGTACTTGTCAAAATTGAAAAATATTGCTCTGGAACAGCATTAATTAAAATGGCCATCGGATGGCCATTTTGGATTAAATCGTCAAATCTTTATATCTATATCAGTCAAAGCATACTGAGATACTGCACTAGAATCACATATTTTAAAACAAAATGGCAGTCAGTTAGCCATTTTGAATCCAATCTGAAAAACAACATGATGTGCATCAAGGTCCCATATTGTCTAATGTATGTAAAAAGTTTGAGCAAAATCCATCTGTAAACAGCTGGAGATCCAGAACGTGAGAAATGCTTGAATTCAATGATTTTTCAGCACAAAATTGCCATTATTCGGCCATCTTGAATCAGATCATGAAACAAATTGATGTGCATATATATTAAATTATGTATGATGTATGTGTTAAATTTTGAATGTAATTGGTCCTGGCATGTCTAAGATATAGATACAGACGCAAACATGATCGCATGCATGGATGCACACACGCTCAGAGATCAATCCATAAGTCAGAAGACGGCATCTGAACAGGGACTAATAGTACTGGTACCAGGGTAATAATCTTTGTTATACTCGTATCCACATTGGGAATTTGGTAACATGACAAAGAACAAATTTTTACTTTTGTTGTAAACTTTCAATTTGAGTATTAAGCATTTCTTTCGAAAGTAATAGAATTGTACAGATCCAGGGGTATGTACACCTGAGTGGTAGTCAGATTTTCCAGAAAGCACAAAAAAATGCAAGAATTTCACCAGAAAGTACCAAAAACAGTAAAAATCTCCACTTCTGACAATGACATTTGAAATAGTATTGTGGTCTTGAAATGTACCGTATATGTGCCACACATAAAATAGAAGAACAT